AAGGAGGGCTTTTCGAAGTTGGCGTCGCTTGTGAAAGCTCCTATGGAAAGGATCCTACTATTTTGGGTGGTTGTTGGGAATACTTGTTTTCTCAAGTTGGCAAAAGTACCCCTCATTGCCAATCCGATCCTTTTCAAGCCTTCTCGAACTCTGATAGCAGGGCTTCAGCATGCAATATGAATGCCACAAGCCCTCAGCCTTGAGCCTCATGAAAACCCCACCCTCAATCTAAAACCTACAATGAAGCCCTGCCCGGCCCTACCCCGAACCCAAAACCCCTTAAACTCTACACCTCATAGGTGAATCTCATGTGTCGAAGTCTCAGCCTAGGAATGTGGTGGTGAAGCAAGGTCTCTCTTGGGGTGGCTATGCCGTGCGGCGATTGCGTCCGGAGGAGGCAGAAGTCTCGTTTGTCGTGGGGCCTGCACAGGCTTGTTCTAATGATTGGGTTTAGGGTTTAGGGTTTTAGGGATTTCTTCCAAGCTCCAGAGAAGGGATTTACAACCTATAAGTGTTTTTTGTAGGCAACGTGGGGTTTCTTAAATGTAGAAGCCCTTCTTAACAAGAGCACCCCGCAGTTCAGGGGGGTAAGATAGGTCGAGGTCTAATGGGGAGGGCTCCGGGCTCTGCAGCAAAGTATGCGGGGCTTTGCAGGTTTATGGCTGTGCATGGCTGCTCAAATTCACTACTCGGTAGGACTGTAGACGACGACACCCTGAACTAGACACCCTTGAATCAGCAAAAGCAAGCCTCCACTCACCATACACCCAAAACCTGAAGGTTCGTGTAGGTCCCTCTTCGATCGGTTCCTCTTCCCAAGTCTAGCACATTTTCAGGTGGGTAGTTACCGCTTTAGGAGCCTTGTAGAAGATCTATATACCTTATAGAAGCCCTATATGCCCTAAACTCCCCACCTGTAGTTTCCTTTAACCCAAGGTACCGGACTTCTTGGAGAGACGCGTGGTTCCGAAGATGCCTCGGGAGGCCAGCGGAAAGCTGCCTCTTAGGTTCAAGTGGGGGTTCCCTACTTAAAGGATCATGGGACTTAGTAAGTAGGGTTATACCTAAGGTAATCTATACTTATATCCCCAATTACGGGACTTATAACCTTACTTACTAAGTCCCATGCACCTCCAAGTAACCCTCCAGGTACCTACTATATGGGGCCCTAGGGGCTCTCATACCTTTTTTTAGTAGGCACCTGTGGGGTTAGGGGTTTGTAAGAGGCTATAGTTTTTTGACAGGGGGTTATCCGGCTTCATTAGTTTGCTTCATAGGCTACCTTATGCAGGGCTTCTTTGTACTGAAGATCGCAGCACTTGCGATTTGCATTAGGTCCTTGCCGTCAGCGCTCACCAGGGCCTACAAGCCTAAGGGTTTAGGGTTTAGGGGTTCAGGGTTTAGGTTTAGGGACCTAAGCCTAAGCAGGCAGCAAGAAAACATAAATCCTACACTAAAGGCTACACGAGGTGAAACGGCAATAAACCCAACAAATTCCAATCCACAAGGCCTATATACCCTAAACCTTATAACCAATAAAAAAAAAGCCTTATAACCCCTATAATAAACATCAGACCCCCAAACCCGACCCATTCTCCGGTTCGGCCTCGTTATTCTCGGCCAAGGGTCAACAGTACCGGTTCGAGCTTCAGGAAACTTAGGGGCCGTTTTTTCGGTGCCTTTCTACGAAGGGTCCTACGATTTAGGGTTTAGGGTGTAGGGTGGGTTTTATATTGGGCTTCGGGCTTAAGTTCAGCGTTACCATACAATATGTGGCGTCCTTATCCTCCAAATTCGCTAAAACTGCAAACCCAAGTTGAGGTGTTTTTTTATCAGCGACAAGGACTACTGTACAATCCCAAAAAAGTATAGGCTTGATAGTGGTGCTTGGTCACCTAATGGACCTCGGAACATACTAATTATGCTTCTTGTACTGTGCGGCCGACAGCGCTTGAAACAGAGGGCTTAAATAAATGGTAACCCGGGTGAAAGCATTTCCGGATCTTTCAAGCGCATAGGGGGTTCTTTGGGCCACCTTCACCTTAATTTTAAGTACTACCCAGGCAGCCCCTGCAGTCACACGGTTTCTCCTCGATCATGACAGAACCCCTCAAAATTGAAGGGTTAGTCCCTGAAAGCGACATATTGGGCTTTGCCGGTGAATCCCCTGTAGCAAGCCATTCTCGACAACCCAGCAGAGCCCTTGGAAAGGCTACAGAGTTGACCGTCCTGCTCCAAGCAAAGGCATGTGGGTTTACTTAGGTTTCCCAAAGGGGCCTTTATAGTCATAATAAATAGGAGCGTGGTTGTGGTGGGGTTTTGTGTTGAGGATGGCTTCTCTACATGCCTAGGGGGCACACAAGATGCGGCTCTACGCCTGGAAGAACCGGAATCTTTCATTTTGTGTAGACGAGAGCGGTAGAGAGAGAGAGAGAGAGAAAGAGATGTATATGTGTGTATTATATATATATATATAAGTGTGTACATACATATATATATATATATGTTTATTTGTATGTATGTGTGTGCGTGTAAACAAGCAATGTTAACTTCATCTCGACATGCATACCTATATGATCTACAACAACACTTCTTGCAGTAGTGTTTTTGTTTGGGGTTTTGGCGTCGCGAGAGTAGGATTGCTGCACTCAGACGGACAGGGGATACAGACTGAGAAGGCTCCAGCACAGTCTTTTTTGGGACCCGGCTGTCAGACAACTAACCTCGCAACCCCTCGCCGGATGAGCCCTGTAAGTCTGTAAGCCCAAAGCTAGAGATTGTTCAAGGCAATGAGTGATTTCGGGGTGAAGCACCTTAAACCTGCTGCAGATTCTTCAAATCAAGCCCGCGCGCAGATCGATCTGGTTGGTGAACTGCGATGGACTGCTTCTTGACTCCACGTTCAACGTGCCGGGAGCTGATGGCCTGTTTCCAGATGCTTTAAGGGGTTGCGGTTTAGGCTCAGGGTTTGTGATGATTTTCTATGAGTTTTGCAGCAGGGTTCTATAAGTGTTCTTTGTGCAACTGCGATATATTTCTACCCCGAGTCACAAAGTCATAGTCGGGTTGCAAGTGCCCCGAGCCTCCAGGCACCTCCCTACATCTCTGAGCAATGAGCACTAAACCCTAAACCCTAAACCCCTAAACCCTAACAGCCCAGGTAGTCGATGGGAAGCTACGTGGGCGAGGCTGGACGACGCTGGGCAACCCGCGGCTGGGCCGGCCGGCCATCACAGGCACCTCTGTTTCAGGATATTTTGACAAGGAATAGTAGAAGTCTAAACCCTAAGCTCCAAACCAAAGGCGTCCCCGATATACGGAATACTAGGATCCTTGATAGAGTCACATTTTGTGGCCGTATATGACTTGTAGGAGGCCTCTAAAATTTCGTAAGCCAGCATGGTTTGGGGTTTAGTTTCGTGTTCTCTTGGACTGACCCCAGTGAATCTCCGTAATGCCACCTCTAAAAGCATAATTTTGCGGACTTTGGGAAAAGAGTCAGATGACTGTTCTTGGTGGCTTGATGTCGCTGTTGATGGGGAAGAAGCAGCACTAGAACAAATCCATCCAGCGAAAATCTATATAGCGGCGGGCCGACAGTGTTATCTTGTCCATCAAGTTTCCTCGACCGGAGCTTGATACATGAGCACACATGCTCACTTGATGTGGCCAGAACTCACAGAATCTGTAGACGGGCTTCAGGGTACTTTAGGGTCTGGGGATTATAGATGAAGGATTCAAACTCGGCTCATGAGCGAGGCGGCTACAAGAACGAGGCCATGTGCCGCAGCTTGGCATCATGTACCTGCTCCCACCAGCCGACAGCGTGGGCGTATCCATTTCTGAATTCTGCACTCTCTCAACCTTAACCGTATTTGTTGCTCTTTAGCAAATGTTTCCGTTATAATAAACCCGAGATAAACCCTAAACCTTTCGGCGCTAGGAAGATGGTTGCCGTAGAGTGGCTACTCCAAAGTGCTTCCGATATAGTTCTCCATAATTACATATATAGTATATTATATGTTTCATATAGTATATGTAGGTACGTGCAAGTGTCCGGAACGGTTTGCGGTGGACTATCGTCACAGGATTGTGAGTGCAAAATCCTGCCCTAGGCCCTAGCCCCTGAAAGCCTGAAGCCTTAGCCCGATACCGTCAATACCCTAAAACGTGAAACACTAAGCCCGAACATCATTGAATGCAAACCCTTAACTCAACAACCTCACCCCCAACCCCTGGACCTAAGTTGCAGAATGGCAGAATGCATACCCAAAGGCAAAAGCCGCAAACTTTCAGTTCCATGGCATTCTAAGGCAACAGGAAACTTACCCTGGGCTTCCAAGGACCTTATAGTTAGGGCCCTAGACCCCTTAAGGACCCAATAATAAGATCCCTGGAAGCCTAGGGTTAGAATGCCTTGAGGCTCTGCTCTCCAACGATCGGGCCTTGCCAAAGATGCCGCGGGCCGCCGGCAGTTGGAAGAGAACCTCCGGCCCAAGGCGCCCTATTCTGCTTGCGCTTTTGGGGTTTAGGAGTTCAGGGCTTAGTTTGTTACGGTTCTTCGATCTTTGTAGTGTTTTTGTTGGGGAGGTGGGGGCATTACGGTTTTTCGATGTTTGTAGTGTTTTTGCGGGGGAGGTGGGGGGCGTTGAGGTGCGTTGGTGCTACAAGGTTATGCAAGGTAGGCCCGGGCGGGTTTTGGCATATGGTGTTTCCTTCTTTCTTTGGAATTTTGACTTGCCCAAATACATTGTTACCTACCTGCCCGCCTACCTACCTAGGTACATACAGACTCCAGGCATGCGTACATCCATGGAGCAAACTTGCATACATACGTACATCCATGCAGACATATTTTGAGACAAACAAGCATACAATGTGATACAGGCATGCATGGCATGGCATGCAAGGCATGCCATGCCATTCCATTCATACGCCACGCCAGGCTCAGGGCTTTGCTGTTTTTGTTGACTCACGATCCAGGCACCCTTCGGTCAGCCATGTTGCGTGTTAGCCGAGTGTCGGGAGAGCCTGTCCTCGAGCTGGGACAAGACGAGTATCATGCACTGACGTCCTTTGGCGGTGGTGCAGTGCGGGCATTGAAGCAACGTGTGAGGTGGGCAACCGGGATTGGCATCTTCAGACAGTCGCTCGTTCGCCAGGGTTGCGTGCTGAAGAAACACGATAAGTTGGAATTTCCACTGGACCTGCAGCTAGTGGTCGTGCCATTTTTGACCGAGATGTCTAACAAAGAAATGAAAGCAGTGCACCTCGCCGTGCGCGAAGATGACGCACGCCGACTCGAGGCCATCCTTCAGAAAGGTCATGACCCGGATGCATGGTTGTTCTATGGCAGGACGGCCTTGCACAATGCCCAAGCGGCATGCACTCGTCTGCTGATAGAGGCCCGCGCAGGGCTAGACATTAAGGATTCAGAGGGTTCGACTCCTCTGCAGATTGCACTCAAGGAAAAGAACCTAGAGGTTGCCGGCTTGCTCCTCTCGGCTGGCGCAGGGATTAGCGGAGCTCAGCGTGAAGCTTTCGCGTCCGTTGAAGTCGCAAACTTTTTGCTGCAAGCAGGCCACATCAATGTGAACGAGCCGGGTGATGATGGCAGCACGCTCCTACACTGGGCGTGCCGTCGGGGTCATGTGACGGTTTCGCAAGCTATCTTAGAAGCCCGAGCTTCCATCAATGTTACCGACTCCCGAAGCGCAACACCGCTTTTTCTCGCAGCTGACTTTGGGAAGGTGGATACGGTACAGATGCTCATCCAGGCGGCAGCAGACTTGGATCATGCGACGGCATGCGGAACAACCGCTCTCCAGATCGCACTGGGCAACCGTCGCTTGGACATCGCACGACTGCTATTGGAAGCTAGGGCTGATTGGAGCTCGTCTCCAGATTCGCATCAAGCGCCGGCCTTGCTGATCGCATCCGAACAGTTTGACTGGTACATGGTCCGTTTATTGCTGGATGCAAGAGCCAGCATAGATGCTGTTGATGCTCTTGGGCGGACAGCTTTGCACCACGCCTTTCTGAAGCCGCAGGATGTAGAATCCATGGACATGGCGCGCTTGCTGATAGAAAGGACAGCAGATGTGAACAAGACGCTCGATGCCGATGGCTGCGCCCCTTTACATTGGATGTCACAGGCTGGCAGGTCAGACAGGGTTCCTTTTCTGATGGAGGCCAAGGCCGATCTCAACTTAAAGAACTGCAGAGCCGAGACGTCCCTGCACTTGGCAAGCAGAAGTGGCCACCACGAAGTCGTCAAGCAGTTGCTGGAACATGGAGCAGAGGCAGACTTGGCTGACGCCAGAGGCAGGACGCCACTGTTGAGCGCGGCAGAGGTGGGTCATCCAGAGGCTGTTAGCCTATTGCTGGCATATCGGGCCGATGTGGGATGGGCTGATGCCGACAGTTTCACGCCGTTGCTTGAGGCAGCTTGCCGTGGCAACCTTGAGTGCGCTCGGCTGCTGATCCAGGCTGGTGCTGATGTGAACAGAGCCAGCTTGATAACCGGCGCCACGCCGCTGCACATTGCACAAAAGCATGGCAAGCACTCCGTTGCAAGGCTGCTCACAGATGCTGGGGCATCCGGTGCCGGATCTGGTGGATACCCGGGAGAATGAGAGGCAGAAGATCCAGCTCAAGAGGCTCAAAAGCTTTTTGGTGTGTATATTATATGGCCTCTTATAAGCCTATGTTACTACAAGCTTAGTAACAGCCGTTCGGTCCTCCTGACCAAATGTCAGGGCGACACCTCGTGGCCCAACGGACTCGGTATACAGCAGCGGTGAGGGAGAAAAGTTGTGTTGCAGAGTGACACCTGTTGCGCGTGTTGGGAACAGCAAATTCATCTAAACCCCGAAGCTCGACACCCGAAGCCCCTATGAACCCCAAGCCTAACCACTAAACATTCGAAACCCTAAACCTTAACGCTTCAGTTTGCCGAAATGGCTAGGCCCTAGAAGCCGACACCGCATCTCTTCGCTTTTCCTGGGATCAAAGTGTTTCGTACTTCCCTTCACGGCTTGACGGGGAAAGTTGGCCTTGTCATTGAATGTTTCTGCTTGCTGCCCTTTCGTCCTGGCCCAGGCCTTCTGTTCAGGGCTATGCGTGTGAATTCGGGCCCGGAGTTATTTTTGGTTTGTGTATGTTTGTTCCTACTTCTTACATTTTCTTACCCTGATTGCCCTGAACCCTAAGCCCCTAGGCACTATAAACACAAAAGCAAACGCCATGAACCCCAGCTTTGTCATGTAGTTTCACTTGGGTTCCACACGGGTTGCACATGAAATACCTAACAACTTTAAAATCTGTGTGTTGGGGTAGTATATGGTTTATACTAGCTTCTGCAAAGAAGGTTCAAGGTTCTACACGGGGATTCAGACGAGGTTCGAAGATTTTTCTGCGGCTGCATGCTGGCTTCAGAATCGAAGTCTTTGTGCTAACTAGTGCCATCTCCCGAAACCCGAGCTAAACGCTACATACCGACTCCTAAACTCGTAAAAAGCTCTAAATCGTTAAGGTGCTTTTTCCAAACACTCTTGCGTGTAATGGCCTTTACTTCCACCAACTAAAAAAACAGTTTTTCTCGCAAACTGAGGATCCGAAAACAAGTTTTCTGAACCTTTCAAGCCCTTGTAAAGCCTAACCTGGTAGGACCCTAAGAATCTCTTACATCAACGAACCGTATCCGTGGCTCAAGGTGGAAGAGGTGGTCGCCGAAGCTGCAGCAGATGCAGGTGGCGAAATTCCCCAGCCACATGGCAGATGAAGGTCTTGAAATCCAGTGCGGGATTTGGGGAGCAGGCGAAGGGTGATCTTGATGTTGGGTTTTGGGGTTTACGCGCCTACTGTTTGAAAGGCAGGGTTTTGCTCTGGCAGTGCAGATCTTACTCAGAGAGCTCCACACTGTAACCGTGTAGAGGATCACTCCTTACGACAGGAATCTGCCACCTTTCAGATGCATAGGCTGTCTGAGCCTCTGCCAGACGAAGGTACCTACGGGTGGATCTTTTGGTCGACAAGCAAGGACACTGCTGAGTTGTCCTTGTGAATTTCTAGTGTTCCTTCCTTATGCTTTACCAGAGTAGACGCTACTAGAGGGACCCTTCAAGGGGTTATAACGCACAGTAATTATGTTGGTTCTGGATCTAAGTGGCTAGCTCAGAATCCTGAGCGCTTTGCAGTTCGATAAGTGGCATGAGGATTGGGATTGCAAAAGAATCATCCCAGTTTTTTGCACGTAGGTTCGCATCATGTCCACGACCAATTTTACCTCTTGATAGTTGTAGCCACAAGGATCGTCACAGCTTCGCAGAATCTTACATTACACGGCTGGCACTGCTAAACTGAAGTCTGGGCACTCTACACCTGTATCCCTGACACAAGCCTTCGGGTTGGCAGTGTAACATAGGGGCTATTTTGGGGTTCCCCCTTTTATAACAGTAGTACTATATTCGCCCCAAACCCTGTTCAATTTGTAAATATTCAGGCTACCAAGCCCCCCTACAATAAGAAGATCAAGCATCGACGCTGTTGACATGCAGGACGCGCATGGCTCGGCGAACGGGCAGCTCGTCCGAAAACTTCTTATTGGCTTAGGTTTTGGGCCTCCCTCTGAGTTTAGGGTTCAGGGGCCGGGGATGAAACAAATTCCCCAAGAGTTTGGCGGAAGAAAAATCTATAGGGATCAGATATCATATTCTGCAATACCATACTGTACTTCACGATGTACGGTGTACGACATTCTTTAAACTATGTACTATACTATAATAACCTGTATACCATGCATTATGTACTATATATTTAACCATATACTATATACTAAATACTATAGACTATACACTATACTATAATACACTTTTGTAGAATATGCAATAATCGACTATAATATACTCTAGTAGAATGTGCCATAGTCGACTATAATGTACTATAGTGGAACTTGAAATCATCGAATACAATATAGTTTTGTCGTGAGGAAATCACAGGTGCTGGAGTTTCTGGGCATAAAGGCAAACCACGAACCAGGTTTTGAGGCACACCATCAACTAACAGCGAAGGATGTGTGTGTGTATATATATATATATAAAGAGGGGGTATGATATACATTTATGCGTGTATGTATATACATATACATACATTGAAGACGAGAGAGAGAAACAGAGAGAGAGAGGGAGAAGGAAGGCGGGTGGGCGGGCTTGACGTCCTAGGGGCCTGACCAACCCGAGAAAAAGAGAGAGACAGAGAGAGAGAAGGATGCAAACACAGACATATCTATCCATATATATATATATATACATCTATATACACATACTTCCTACCATGTATACGTAGATAGCGACTACCGAGGCATTCCGCCCACCCGCAACCTTTTCAGGATCAATTGAATCCGCAGCACGGCGCCGCTAGAGTTAGAGCTTACATGACATACACCCTAAACCCTAAACCCTATAGTTGAAAGCATCCGAAGCTTCTGACTGTTCACACCGACTGCGCACACATGGATCCTCGCCTGGCATGTCCGAGTTGTGAGAGTGTAAACCCTAAACCACGGCCACCACGGCAGCACCCCTAAACCCTAAACCCTAAACCCTAAACCCTAAACCCTAAACCCTAAACCCTAAACCCTAAACCCTAACCTGAGGAGTCCTGGGGCGCGGATTTGGTCCGAAACCAGGAGAATCCGCTCGGGCGCCGCTTGTCTGAGGGCTTGTTCTCTTCATGCTGTTGAGGTCTTAAGTTTAGGGATTAGGGTTTAGGGTTTAGGCTTCAGAGAGACCTCGTTCAAAAAAGGGGTTTAGGGTTTAGGGGTTTGCAGACAGGGCTTAGGGTTGAGGGGTTTGGGTTCTAAGCTTCATGAAGGGCTTGTTTTCTTCTACCTATAGTCTCCATGGTAGTTCCTTTTAGGGATACCTTACAAAATCCTTAATATATGATTGGTTAAACCAAAAAAAAGGAACTACAATGGAGACTATAGGTACCCTAAACCCTAAACCCTAAACCTTAAACCCCTAAACCCTAAACCCTAAAAAAGGAACTACAATTTCGATTCGGAGCTGTGGCATGGGCTGGTGAGAGACTTCGCATTCGGCTCCAGGGTGTCAGGTCGGTGGTTGATGGTTGGGTTTTTGGTGCTTTGTTTTGGGGTTTAGGGTTTAGGGGTTTGGGGGGCTTTGTTTTGGGGTTTAGGGTTTAGGGGTTTAGGGTTGTTTTGGGGCTTTGTTGTGGGGTTTATTTAGGGTTTAGGGTGTTTTTGGGCTTTGTTTTGGGCTTTTGCTGATGGAATTTCTGATTTCAGTGCTGCGTTTTGCGATGGTTGTTAGAACCTGTCCGTCGCTTTCGCGAATGTGCAGGTGGGGTTATGCTTAGATGCTTTGGGAAGTCTGGCTTTCAGGCTTGGGTGAGGGGTGGAAAGGCATAATAATTCGGGAGCCCGAACAAACGGATAATCTTACAGTTTTGGCAAAGAAAAGTTTCATAAGCCTATCTAGGCCTCACTAGGAATCCTTGGTGAGCGTTTGGGGTTTAGGGTTTAGGGGTTGTGCTCGCTGTGTTATTTGGGAATACTGAGAACCAAAAGCCCGTCTATGACCGAAGGCCAGGAGAACCCTTATCTCCTGGACCCTCTATGCCCAAACCCTCCCCTACATATAAACCCTAAACCCTGAAACCGTAGCCCTTATAACCCTACGAAGCCCTTATAAACCCTAAACCCGAAGCCCTGGCACAAAAGCGCCAGGAACCGACCCCACCAAAGCCGAGCTCGCCCGAGCACTGGTGCGGCGTGCGGCGCAGCCATGAGATGCCGCGGGCTTCCCAAGATTTTCATTTAAAACAATAGACTTAAGAACCCAAAACCTACTTTTTGGTAGGGGCCCCTATAAATCCCATATTAGGGTTTAGAATAAGAGCCTACAAAAAGTGGGTTTGGGGTTCTTAAGGTAGACTCGATAGGCTATTACTGTACCGTAGCATAACAGATAATAGAACAAGGGGTTTCTGAATATCTCGGCACCAACTCCAGTCCGTTCTAGTCTGTAAGCGCGCTGTCTTGAAGATCCTTATGGTTGTGTAGGTTTCGGAAAAGACCTTCCGTCATAGAAGCCGGACTGGAGAAGCAAAAGCCTTGTCCTCAAATTAGGAAGTGTTTAGGGGGTTTGGGTGGGTCTAGCCTAGCCCTGAAATCCATCTAGATCCTGGGTAGGTCTCTCAAGGGAACCCCGAAAAACGTCGAACAGGAACTGAAAACCTGATGAGCCAACTTACCCCAAAAGTAGGTAAAATAACTGCCCACAACCTTCAAAAGGCTATTATCCTAAACCCAAAACCCTATTCTACATACTTTGGGGGTCCAGGTAAAGCCCTTATAACCCACGAGAGTGGAGCCTCCTGGGCTGTCGGAACCCACTTTGGGCCTGCCCCATGAGCCCCTTGACAGAGGGTTTAGGGCTTAGGGTTTAGGGCACGGATGATGTAGGGGTTTAGGCTTTCAAGGTGTCCATGCGGACATGATGCATGTCCTTTGCTGGGTCTAGGGCGACGGCGAGGCGGTCTTGTTGGAGATGCAGTAAACCTTCAGAAGCCAAGTGGTGTGGAGATCGTGAGGAATATTTCAGATACATCT